TTAGGTATGCATATATGTTGCTTCTTGGCATTAAGGCCCACCTGCCGAGAGGAGCAAATATGCATACATTGAGCGTGAAGGAGTTAAGTCATGGTACACTAAATGGGCTGGAAAATTTGGTAAAAAGCAGACTAATGTAATGTTTTATTACTATTAGGTGCAAGCCCAGCAGGATAAAAAAAAAATCTAGATGCTTTTCTAGCCAAATAATCAACATTGGAAAGATCAACCATTTTGGTATCTTTAATTTCAATCTTTGAGAGTTTCTTAGAGAGCACTTTATCAGCGGTGTGTAAACTACAGTATGTGGATTATAGACAGAACGATTTACCAAGGCTTAAACAACTGCCATGCTTTCTCCATAAACTGTTTGCACATTTTATTTTTAGCCTTTTTTTGCATCTCAGTGCTGCCGATCTTCACCAGGATTTGCTGCACAGTATTGATCTGGACTGGTTTACTGACAATGGTGGACTCTGTCAGCTGCTTATGGTCTTGACCAGGGGTGTATGCGCCAGGATGAAATTGCAGGAGCAGAATTGGAAGATAGTTATATTCCCAGAACAGAAAGTACCTACACAAGCACCTTGGGTTTAAATCTACTCTATAGCGTAACTAAACCCTCCTAGCCTTTATAGCCAAGGAAGCCCCCTAATTGCTGGAGATGTGGAGACCCAGAGCCGACCTGGTCTCCACATCCACAAAAATTTTATGACCTGATTTTTGGATTCTAGAAATTAAGGAAGACATATGGGTAAAAAAAAAGAGAATATAGTCTCTTTGTTCTTGGGTAAATTGTCCCTTAGGCTAGATTCACACCTATGCCGGTTGCGTTTGAGCCGTTTCTGCATTGTGTTTTGTGTTTTTTTCACCCGCGTTTTTGACACGTTTTTTATGTGTTTTGCGTTTTGTTTTTTAAATTTTTTTTTATTTTTCTTATTGCTAGGCAGATTTAAAATGTGGCAAAAACGCAGCAAAAACACACTACATGCTTTTCTGCAGCATTTCCATTGAAGTCTACAGAACCAAAAATGCAACTTTTTGCATTCCAAAAAGTCCCTGACCCTTTCCAAGAAAAGCACCGGGTGAAAATGCGGAGATGTGAATATGTCCCATAGGAAATCATGTTAAATGGACTGTACTGCATTTCTGCAAAGCGCAAAACGCTGCAGAATATGCTTAGGTGTGAACCTAGGATTAAGGTCTTTCTCCCATTCCTTCAAGTAAGAGGGCACATAATTCTCCACAGGGGCTGCAAGTGCTGCCTAGGCCATTGAGAGACCACGTCGGAGCGGAGTAGGATCTTTACAACCTAATTTGAAGGAAGATGGCCTGAAAAGTTCCATCTCCTGAGGTGAGATTGAGAAAAAGAAATGTCACAGCTGAAATGCCTGCCATCTAGGCAAAAGAGAGTCTAAAATAGAATGAATGTCCAAAGTGGATTTCCAGCTACCCCCTTCTCTAAAGTTCTAGTAACCCTATAGAAAAGCTGCACCAATCCATTTTTAACTTAAACTTGCACAGATAAAGTAACGTAAAGGTTGGAATTAAAAAAAAAAACAACACGTACCTTCCCTGTGCAACGATGTTGCATAGAAACATTGCTCTGATCCTATTCTAGTAGTTCTCAGCAGCACTGTAGACTTCTCCCCTCCTTCTGGTGCCTCCTGTAGGAAGCCAAATGCTAAGGTGCTCCCTGCAGGTTTCAAGCTAAGCTGTGTGTGTCCATAGACAGGGATGAAGTAAATGTTTTGACATAAGATGGATAAGACAGGTAGAGGGCATTTTTTACCTTAAAGAGTTACTATACCCAGGACCCTGCATTCACTAGATCTAGTCTCCCCACAGTACACCGACAATGGAAATGCAATAATTTTAATTATAAACTGCTGAATACCTTTTCTCATCAGCAGTTAGAGCGATCTTGTGGCTTCTATCAGTGTCCAGCAGAGCACTGGTTAAAGCTTATAGGAGGAGTTTTCATTCTCCCCTGATTGTCCTATGAGGCTACAGGAACCCTGACCCTCTGTCTGGACAGTGCTGATTGGCCCTGTGCTGATCACATGCACCCTCCCAAGAAAAAAAAACTCTCTAGTAATACTCACCAAACTGAGCATGTGCAGCTTTTCCCCAATGCTCTGTTCTATCAGCAGATGGATTTGGGACCGTGGAAGAAGGGGAAGATCAGAGAAGACAGGATCAAACATCCTTTTTACACAATGCAGAGGATTAACCCCTTAGGTCCCACAGTAAGTATAGTAAGTAGGCTTTACTGTATATACAGACTGATTTTACTGTTGTGAGTTTAGTAGCACTTTATTGCAGAGAATGTATTAGGGTAAAAAAAAAAAATTAGATTTTAGTATTAGTTTAACCACTTGCCTACAGGGCACTTATACCCCCTTCCTGCCCAGGCCAATTTTCAGCTTTCAGTGCTGTCACACTTTGAATGACAATTGCGCGGTCATGCAACATTGTACTCATATGACATTTTTAGCATTTTTTTTTAGACAGATAGAGCTTTCTTTTGGTGGTATTTATTCACCTCTGGGTTTTTTTTTTTGCTAAACAAACCAAAAACAACTGAAAATTAAAAAAAAACATTTTTTCTCAGTTTCTGGTATAAAATTTTGTAAAGAAGTGATTTTTCTCCTTCACTGATGTGCGCTGATGAGGCTGCAGTTATGGGCACTGATAGGCTGCACTAATGGGCACTGATAGGCGGCACTGATGAGGAGGCACTGATGGGCATTGACAGACATCACTGATGAGCACTGAAAGGCAGCACTCATATATGGCACTGATAGGCAGCAGTGACTGGCACTGATAGGTGGCACTGACTGGCACTGTTAGGTGGCACTGATAGGCTGCACTGACTGGCACTGATAGGCGGCACTGAAAAGCACCTCAGATGGGCACTGGTAGGCACTGATATGTGGAATTGATGTGGCACTGGCTGGTGGTTGATGGACACTGACAGGTGGCACTGATGGAAGCTAAGCTGATCATCAGAGCACACTGATCAACAGTGCCCTGATGATCAGTGTACATGTCCCCTCTGAGTAATGCTGATTACCGGCTCTCCTCTCCTCACGAGCTGTCAGCGTGACAGCTCTTGAGGAGAGGAATGCCAATAACCGGCATTTCCTTATTTACATGTGATCAGCTGTGATTGGACACAGCTGATCACATGACAGAGCCGATGTCATCGACTCTTTCCGTTGATCGGTGATTCGCTGTGTCCCAGGTAGGCGAGAGGCGGGTAAACTTAAAATGAAAGCTAGCATCTGATTGATTGTCTTTCACATCCACTCCAGATTCTTGCTGTTCTAGTCTTAGTAAATTCCCCTCTGTGTATCATAAACAATTACATTTATTTCATTTTGCATATATACAGCACAATGAACAATTGATATGTTGCATCTAAGCACTGCTGATTTCTTGCAGCCTCTTTGCAGTTATCTAAATGCACACAAGCCAGCAATGTATGGAAAGGCTTCCTGTAAGTGACCCAGTTAAACTTGTCTGCATAATGGGGGTGATTTACTGAAGGCAAATAGACTGTGCAGTTTGCAAGGGAATTTTCACCAGAGTTTAGTGATTGAAGTGATGCTCTTCTGACTTCTATCATCCAATCAAAAGCAAAACATTCCAGCAAAAATGCTGTTTTTTTTTTTTTGCTTGCAAAGTTAAAAATTCATTCTCTAAGCTCTGAGGAAGTCCCTTCCAGAATGAATAGTCTGTTTGCCTTAGTAAATCAACTCCAGATGTGTGCTGTAACAGCCATTTGTAGTCCCCATGTGAAGCCCATGTGACAGTATGACAACACTGGAACATTATTGGGAGAGACAGTTAGAGTGTTGTCAGCCTATAACAGGAAGTGCCTGAACAAGACCCTTTTTGCCAAGATCACTAATAATACACAGATAATAGTTTAATGGGTGGCACAGTGGCTTAGTGGTTAGCACGTCTGCCTTGCAGTAAATGGGTCATAGGTTCGATTCCTGACCATGGCGCCTCCTGCATGGAGTTTGCATGTTCTCCCTGTGCTTTTGTGGGTTTCCTCCCACACTCCAAAGACATGCTGGTAGGTTAATTGGATCCTGTCTAAATTGGCCCTAGTATGTGTATGTATGAATATATATTAGGGACCTTAGATTGTACACCCCTTGAGGGGTAGGGACTGATGTGAATGTACAATATATATGTTTAAAGCGCTGTGTAAATTGACAGTGCTATATAAGTACCTGAAATACATAAATAATGAAAGCTGTAGATAAAAAGAAAATTTACTTTTAAAATGACATTGGCATCTTAAAGGCTATATGAGATTTTTGTGATTTGGTTTATACAGTTCCAGTCATTTTGCTGTAAACCTGGACACACATATTTATCGTGTTTACAGTAGTTTGTGTACATGCTGGAATGTCAAGAATCCAGTTAAACACAATGCATACGGTAGAAAGCATTTCCCATTGAAGGTTCCAGACACCTACTTTTACAAGAAAGTCAAACTCCTTATCTTACTTGTGCAAACATTTCAAAATCTGCTATGACTTAGCAAGTGATATGAAAGGCCATCTGAAGCAGAAGAGCTGTGTACCTTGTGTGAGTAGCTCACCAAAAAGTGTTCTCTCTTATATGTCAGCTCTTAATTGCCTTCCCAAGTGCTAGCCAGAAGGGGAGGATACATAGAAGGACAAAGGACTATTGGTGTCTGCTGCACAGAAAAAGGATAGGGGGGCTGGCTGCAATTTGACGTGGCATGAAAAGTCTTCGCTCAACTCTTTTCAGTGTCTGTGTAGCTGTATCTTAGAGCTTTCTTCCACAGCCTCCATGGGAAATAGGGCAAGCCCATGCTTCCAAATATGAACAGGCGTTATTCTCACAATCTAGCATTTATAAATATGGAAGATGAGTAATGAGACATTGAAGAGGTTTGATTCAGGGTGCCCATCTATATTTTTTTGTGTCAGAGTTTATTGAATGCAAACCTTGCCATGGGGTGTGGACTAAGGAAACTAGAAGATTCTGATGACAGCAGCCCTGGAAAAATTTTCTCAACATTAAAAAGGCCACAAGTGGAAACAAAAATCGACCTGGCCTATGAATATGTCTTACTGGATTTTTCTTTAGAAGGTAGGTACACTTCAGTACAATCATAATTTAAATGCTGAGGTTCTTTACTGTTCTTAGGTATATTTACATTGATAGTCGTAAATTACAATTCCCTATTTGGTTTTCACTTTGCACTGACAGTTATACACAAATGCCTGTTGTGTTTTAATATGTTTGAAATACATATGATAGTTACATTTTTTATATGTTTTAAGAGGCGGTTTGTAGTCTTGGGTTTAATATTTTTGATTCTTTTAATGTTTTTGATCATTTTGAAATCTCATATACTGTAGTAGAAATTGTTGAGTCCACAATTCAGGTTTTAGCTTTTGGTATTTACTGCATTGCTTCAAGTGGTTGGATAAATATGAAATGTTATATTATGTGCTATAATATTAAAAGTTATGTCATTTTTTTAGCATATGGAATTAATGAACAGTTTTGCATATCTCTGGCGCTAAACAGAATATTTGGTAATATTTTTTTCACTTGTACACATCATAAAACATCCAGGGACGATTCTTAGCTGTTTTCACTACATAGAATATTTAAATCTTCAAAAGCAAAGTCACTGCAAAGTAATTCATTGCAGTCAAACAGAACAGCTTAAGAATGAGCGGTAAAATATTGTGCAGAGTTTAGGAAAACATACAGAAGTGACAGTGAAAAACACACTTTCTTCCCTCGCTTTTCACTTCTTTTCTATGCAGAGCATGCTTTGCGAGAGGCCTCTCGTCTCCAGGATGCCAGAGCAGCGCAGCGAAATACCAGATCACAAAGTTGAAAACACAAATAAACAAGGCCAGATGGCTTCCCTCTGGGAACATAGGCCTCTCTGTTCTGTATACATTCTAAGACCTTCTATCATGCCTTGAATGAAAATCGTATCTTTGTAGATTTACTTTTCCTAAAAATATATTACAATTAGCATCTCAAGCTATGATGATATACGTGTATAGAAAAATTGTTAAAATCTGCACGTTGAAAGAATTCTTGTGTAGACACAGCTCACCACCAATTACATTGATTCAGGTTTTTCTTAGTACATTCTTTGTCTAAGTGAATCTACTGGACCTAAAGTGTAACTTCTGTTGCCTAATTTACACTCCCCATGCATTCCTATAACATAAATTGATGCTAAAAATTCTGCCAAGCTTGCTGTCAGCAGCCGTCGATTTCCTATGGCTCCAGGCACTCAAACTCAGCAAGGGTGCTGTCAAAAGGTGATGTTCAGGAAGTCTGTCAATGAATGTCTTTGCCTAAACAAAGATCTTGCCCTTTGATGGCACCCGCCAGATGATAATCTTAGATTTATTTCAGATTGCTCATATAGCACTACCCCCTTAGGGGTTGCTGATGAAATGGGCCCCCTTATAGTCCTGCACTATATTTCAGCCTTCAGCATTCACACAGACTTGCTTTAGAGTCAGAAACCAGTCCTTGAGCTTTTGTTTTGTTGTTTATTTAGGGGATTTAGAACTGGGATAGGGTTATGGGGTATAGTATGACCAAGGGAACCGATAACTGAGGACAAACTTCCTGGAACTATTAACAAGCTTCTCTTCTGCAACAAAGTCTCTGTTGGAGAACTAGTCAGCGTCTCCTGAGCAGGAGATCGGACCCTTTAACCTCCCTGGCGGTATTCCCGAGTGTAGCTCGGAGTTAATTTGCAGTGCCAAAAGCAGTAACCCCGAGCTACACTCGGGATTACCCTGCAGCGTTGCTCAGGGATCCCCTGCAGCACTTACCTTGTCCAGCACTCCCGCAATGTGTCCCCTGCAGCGCCCCTGGCCATCTCCTCCGGCCGATGCCGGCATCCGACTTCCAGCTTCTGGTCCCTGCGAGCGTCCCTTTAGGTCAAAAGCGGTTTTAGACCAGCTAGAGAACAGCGATAGTAAATTAGAACCACTTGCAGAATTGAGTGATAATAATTTGTGGGGAAATTTGTCATCAGACACTGAAAACGATTTTGCGACTTTGCTCAGCGATGTGCGAACTTGGCGCTATATTTCAAATTTCAGTGTTTTTTGTTTGATTATATTATTGAATTAAATTTATTATTACATTATTATTTTTTATGATTATTTATTAAATTACAATTTATATTTTGTGTTTCAAATTTTATTATACCTGGGATGTTTACTAGACTCTTGTTCGGACAGATTTCAGTGAGTTATTCCTAAAAATTACAGGCCTACAATAAAAAAACAACATATTTCCTTGCAAAAAAATTTACCGCTTTGAGCACAGAAATATGGACATAATCAGACTGCTAGGGAGGGTAAATGAGGTGAACAGTCAATAGTAGGGGGCTAATCTGGTTTCCCACCAGAGTGCTCCTTCCCCTATCTGCCCAGGGGGTGCAGGTGTACTTACTCAGATCCTCTCCTGTACCACTTGCACGTTGGCTGCTGCTACCAGGCCTATCAGCTGGACTGCTCCTTCCCTGCCATACAGGTGGTCCTTACTCATGAGGCCAGTGAGCACCAAGTTTTCCATGTTTCCAGTTCCAGGCTTGCAGGCAGGCCCCATCCCACTGGCAGCCTTCTTCATCCAGCCTCACATCTTCCTCTCTCCTTCTTCCACCCAACGCCTTTACATTCCTGCCACTGATCAGGCTCCTACAGTTTTAAGAGATTTCCAGCCCCTTGCCAAGCCTTCTGTTGGGGATTGGCTGAGGTCCCTCAAGAGTGCAGCCAGCCACATTTATTTATTTATTTCAGGTTCTTATATAGCGCCGTCAATTTACACAGTACTTTACATATATATATATTGTACATTCACATCAGTCCCTAACCCTCAAGGGGTGTAAAATCTAAGGTCCCTACTTACATACTGCCCAAAACTACATCACTGACCTAATATCCAAATACCACCCAACACGCACTCACCACTCCTCACAAGACCTCCTTCTCTCTTGTTCCCTGGTCTCCTCCTCCCATGCCTGCCTCCAGGACTTCTCCAGGGCATCACCCATCCTCTGGAACTCCCAACCCCAATCATCAGACTATCACCTACTCTCCTCTCCTTTAGGCGCACCCTGAAAACCCAACTCTTCAGGGAAGCCTACCCCACCCCCTGCTAATTGCCAACCCCTCCACTCCTCCTACCACTCCATCCCCCACAGCCATTTCCTCCTGTACCACTATCCCCTCCCTCCTAGATTGTGAGCTCGAAAGAGCAGGGCCCTCGAACCCCTCGTGTATCACATTGTATTGTTATTTTACTGTCGCATGTACTGTCTCCCATTGTAATGTACAGTGCTGAGCAAATTGTTGGCGCTTTATAAATACTGTATAATAATAATAATACATGCATACATACATACATACACATATTAGGGCAATTTAGACAGGATCCAATTAACCTACCAGCATGTCTTTGAAGGTGTGGGAGGAAACTGGAGTACCCGGAGGAAACCCACGCAGGCACAGGGAGAACATGCAAACTGCATGCAGGTGGTGCCATGGCTGGGATTCGAATCCAACGACCCTAGTACTGCCAGGCGGAAGTGCTAACCATTTAGCCACTGTGCTGCCCCACTGTCTCCCAGACCCTCCTCCAAAAGCCTCAGAGCAGGGGGTAATTCAAGAGGGACTGTCCTGCAGAGTTTCTCAGCCCTGACCAAATTTGAGCCCTTTGGCTATTACACCCAAGCTGCTATCCAGCTCCTGTCTAACCATTAGGATCTAGTTCCCCCTAGCTAAACTAAGAGGGTGCTGCACCTATCAGTGTTACAGATTTACACAAGTAACACCTTTGCTTTATAACATGTAAACAGAAGCATTTTTAAAGCAGTCAAACTAAGCGACTACATACTAAAATGAAAGTAAAAAACTGATTTAACTCCAAACAAGTCACTTAAATAATTTACTGCGGATTCACTCTGTGCAGATATCTACAAACTTTTTTTTTTAATAACAGAAAGCATTGATTTCTGTTCACCTTGAGGTTCAGTGGGCTCCCCCATGATACCACTCATAAATTGTCAACCTTTCCCTCTACCCTCTTGCCCTTTTCTTATAACCATTTTAATTGTGGTTTTGTCATTAAAGTTAATTAGTGTTTAGCCCCTGCAAGACAAAACAAGTTTACTGTAACGCCAACTTCTCAAGTTTTTTCTGCTTACAATTTTTCCACTTCCCCATTACTTTCAACCTCCGGGGAGAAGGGATTGATGCCTCTGTAAGCTCCAAGTCACATCTTGTTCTTAGCACAGTGCTGAGGACTGTCTCCCAGCCTACAGGTGGTAGCACTAGGTACCTGAGCAGCCAAGCACCATCAAGGTCTTGTGGGTAGCAAAGGAATGAGTTAGATGCCCCCCATATTCAAAAGTGTTGGGTATTTCTGAAACATCCTGATGGCCTAATAATGCAGTGTGGGAGAAAAGGGAGAGTGAGTATGTGCTGCAGGTGCGGCTGCTATTAGGCCTCGTTCAGATGGGCACTGGCCCCTGTACTGCATGGTGGAGGTGGTCTTTTTTTGCATCTGCCCCCAGCTGTGTGCAGGCAGGCTATGAAAGTAGATGCAGGTGCAGTGGCAGCTTGGACACAGCTGCATGTGAAAAGTTGGCAGCCGTGCAGAAGTTCTACATCCATTTCCATAGGCTGCCTGCACGCAGCTGGGGGTGGATGCAGATGCCAAAGCAAATGTCCCCTGCACACAGCACAGTTGACAGTGCCCACCTGATTGAGGTCTTAAAGTGGAGCTGTTACTTTCCAAAGCCAAAGAACAGGTCCCCTTTAGGCTTAGAGCATATGTCAATTCAACATTTCATATTCTTGATATGTACATGCTGTACCCTGTACTTGTATGAAAAAGTATCCTGTTCTCTTTGTATTGCTTCCTTTGTGTAAAATCCTTGGTGTTCCTGACAGTCCCTCTGCTTTCCTATTAAAATCTGACCACACTAAAATCTTGACTGGGACCCAGGACTGCAGGAACCTTAACCTTCCTTTTCTCTTCACACTTCTCTTTTCTTCTCTTCTGTTTCTCTCTATTCCGGTTTTATTTCCTTCCAA